GTCATGCTTGCTTGCTTGCTTGCTTGCTTTGCTTGCTTGGTATCGTTTCGCTTCTCCTTCTCTTCGGATTTCTTTTCTCTCAAATCCCGGATTTTTTTTTTTTCCGCGCCGCCCTGCTCTTGCCGCCGGAAACTTTCTGTGCAAAAACTACCGCTACCCGTCGGCTTGGAGTAGTGGTTAGGTGTTGCTGTTGCCTCAGGATGCTGCGCCATCCGACTCCTTCTCCGCCCCGAGCCCCCAGGCCCTCTTCTTTCTCCTCGCCTCCTTTCGCAAAGAAGTTAAAGGAGAGGGGCACGGCCCACCGTAGGCCCTTTTTTCACTTCGCGGAAGAAGAAGAAGAAGAAAGAACTGGTTGGGGGGAGGACGGTGGGCGAGTGAGTTCGGCGTTTGCAAGCAGGTTTCGTGGCGCGGAGAGGCCCCCACCTACGCGATCTCGCGTCACTAGGGTTGCGCCCTTGCCCCCTCCAGCACGGCCGGATCGCCTGGCACCGGGAGGGGTGACCGGGCAACAGACGGGTGGTTAATTTCGGCTTTTGGAGGAGAGCGCCTCTCCGGCTCCTTCGGAACATACTTCGCCCTTTTGGGCCAGTGCAGGCCGGCGTTCGGAGGAGGATCACGGACGATGGGCGCCCCGTCACTCCGTCCCTGCGGGCCGACGGCGACGGAGAAGAGGACACCCTCCACGTCTTGAAGAGGACAACGTCCGGACGCGGGAGCGAGTCTGCCCAACAGGCTAGGGAACCCGCGCTCCTCTCGGTCCGGCGAACTCCCCAGGGCGGAATCGCCGGCGCGAGAGCCAGCAGCAAGCAGGCGAGGCAGGCAGGCAGGGCGAGGCGGCAATGCCGGCCGCCGCCCGCGCGCTCCGCCCGCGGTCGCCGCCGCTCCAGCACCTCCGGCACGGGTCGAGACGGAGCCCCTCGGCCGGCAAAGCGGTCGACGGGCCCCTCGACCCGTTGTGCTCTTGCGGAAACCGCTCTACCCCCACCCCCCACGCGGAGGGGGAGGAGGAGAGCGGTACCTACAGGGCTGTTCGCCTCACTCTCAAAGATTCCCGTAGCGGCCTTCCCGGAAGGCCGGGCGGAGAGCTCGCCGGCAGCGAGCAGCCCGCAGCCGTCCGTACTGTCTTCCCGGGAGGAACGTCACGACACTCGAGGGGAAGTGGCAGCCGTCCTTCGAAGAAGGCACAGGCCGCCGCAATGTGCGTTCGACACGTCGATGGAATCACGGGAGAATTGCGATAGCCACCAAAACATCGCTTCTTGCCGCGGTCTTCCTCGACCCACGAGCCAAGTGATCCCCCGTTAAGAGGCTTTTTGCTGGGTTTATCTCATTTCGAGTTCACACTACTACTCGATGGCCTCCCACTCAAAGGGCCTCGAAGGGGGGAGTAACCTGCGCTATGAGAAGACGCGTAGCACACGGCGCCGGGGCCGCGGCACAGGGGTGTGGCCGCTTTTTCCGGCGCCGTCGCTGACGCTCGTAGGCCCCGGTGACCCAGGCGGGGCTGACAAAGACTTCTGGGTTCGGCCTTCCCCTCCTCCCCGCCCTTCCGGACGGGGAAAAGAAAAAGGCCGGGGAGCCGTGCCGAGAGCCCCCGCGGAGGGGGGCACGAGCATGAGAGAGGATCGAGACGAAGAGGAGCGGAGGTGCAGCGGGGAGATGGGGGGGGGGGGGGGGGCAGATGCCAACCCCAAATCCCGCCCTCTTCCTTTTTTCTCCCGCTGGCTCCCCTGCTGACTCGCTCGCCCGTCCGCCCGTCCGTTTAGTCGCGCCCAACCCGCGCTCGGGTTGTTAAGAGAGAGAGTTTTTGCCTCTTCGGCCAGGCAGGCAGGCAGGCGGTGCCAGGCGGCAGGCGGCGGGGGGGCGGCGGCCGGCCACCCTACTCTAATGCTGGTGCTGCTGCTGCGCTGCTCGCTCGCTCGCTGGTAGTAAGCACTCGTTACATGATCCTTCCGCAGGTTCACCTACGGAAACCTTGTTACGACTTTTACTTCCTCTAAATGACCCAGCTTGGACACCTTTCCGTCGACCCGAGGGCGCTGGCCGCCGCCGAGGCGGCGGTAGCGGCTCCAAGGGCGCCAGTCCGGTGCCTCACTAAACCATCCAATCGGTAGTAGCGACGGGCGGTGTGTACAAAGGGCAGGACTTAAATCGGCGCAATCGGTCGAAATTGCGCACCAGTAACTGGCTCGAATCCTCGTTCTATGAGGATAAACATTTGCAAGCCCCAATCCCCTTTAAGGACAGCTTTCAACGAGGGTACCGCTCATCTCGGAGCAGGACAGCTCGCTGAACTCTCCATTGTAGCGCGCGTGCGGCCCAGAACATCTAAGGGCATCACAGACCTGTTATGGCTCAAACTCTCGTGGCGGCTAGTATATTTTTGCTTGCCGCTTATCCCTTTAAGGAAGAGACGGCGAAGCGGACGCGCAGTTTCCGGCGCCGCGGGGCGCGCCGCCGGCGGCGCTAACCAACCGACGGTGGAGGCCCGCGCGACGGCCGGGTTTAGGGGAACCGAAGCCGACGCCCGAGGGCGACGGCTCGGGCGAGAGACCCGTCGACTATTTAGCAGGCTAGAGTCTCGTTCGTTATTAGGAATTAACCAGACAGAATCACCCACCAAACTAAGAACGGCATGCACCACACCCCGAATCGAGAAAGAGCCTTCATTTCTGTCAATCCTTCCGGTGTCCTGGCCCTGGTGCGTTTCCCGTGTTTGAGTCAAATTGAGCCGCAGGGCTCCACTCCTGGTGGTGCCCTTCCGTCAATTCCTTTAAGTTTCAGCTTTGCAACCATACTTCCCCCAGGAACTCAAAGACTTTGGTTTCCCGGAAGTACCGCCGGGTTCAGGGAATAAACTGCGGCGGATCGCTAGTTTCAGCATCGTTTAAGGTTAGAACTAGGGCGCGTATCTTCTGATCGCCTTCGAAACCTCTAACTTTCGTTCTTGATCAATGAAAAAATCCTTGGCAGAGCTTTCGGCAGTAAGGTCTCATGCGACGGTCTAAGAATTTCACCTCTAAGCGTCGCCAGTACGAATGCCCCCGTCTGCTTCTATTAATCATTACCTCGGGTTCGAAAAACAGACAAAATAGAACGAGGGTCATGTTCACATCATTCCATGCACGACCATTCGGCGTAAGCAAAGACCAGCTGCTCTGAAGCACTCTAATTTTTTCAAAGTAAACGTGCCGGCCAACAGGGGACACCGTAAGGGCATAAAAAACCGGTGCGCGCCGGCGGGGACACCAGCCGGAACCCGGCAGTAGCCGCCCGCTAAGGCGGTACCGCGGGTCCGGAGCAGAAAGGCAACCTAGCGAGCGTTTCAACCGCAACAACTTTTATATAGCTAGTGGATCTGGAATTTACCGCGGCGGCTGCACCAGATTGCCCTCCACTGGATTCCTCGTACAAGGATTTAAAGTGTACCTCATTCCAATGCGAGGCCCCGTTCGGGCGCTCGCAACAGTATTTTTTCGTCACTACCTCCCCGTGCCGGGAGTGGGTTTAATTTGCGCGCCTGCTTCCTTCTTAGATGTGGGTAGCCGTTCTCAGGCTCCCTCTCCGGATCGAACCCTGATTCCCCGTTCCCGTGATAGCCATGTAGGCGTTAACCTAAATCGAGAGCCTGATAGGCAGACGCTGCAGGACGCGGCGCCGACCCAACCCGGGTTCACGGAGGGGTCGTGCGCTCGGCGAAAGTTATTGGATTCACAGGAGATTCTCCACGGCCGACCGGTTGAAGGGCCGGCCGCCGAGGGTTTTGGTCTAATAAAGCGCTCCTCCCTCGCGGTCGGAGACTACAAAGGCATGTATTAGCTCTAGAATTACCACAGTTATCCAAGTAGTGCGGTTCAGCAGAGAATCCAATGAGTTATATCTGATTTAATGAGCCGTCCGCGGTTTCGCCTTAAGTCGGCCTGTACTTACACATGCATGGCTTAATCTTTGAGACAAGCATATGACTACTGGCAGGATTCACCAGGTAGAAATAGGGGGAAAAAAGAAAGCAAGAGAAGACCAACGAAAAGCGACCTGTCCTGGTCGTCGTCGTCCGTCTCCCTTTCTTTCTTGTTCGTGCTGGGACGAGCGGGAGGAGGAGGAGGAGGGGAAGGCTTCAGGAGGAAGGGGCAGGAGGAGCGCGGGGGGGGGGGGGGGGGCGGCGGCATTTGCAGCGCATTTGCATCGCTGCTCCGCCGACGCCGCACCCACCCACACCACGGCGCTCGCTCCTCCTTCGCCGTCGTCGCCTTCGACTCTCTCGCTGGCTCGCTCGCTTCGACCCTGTTCCTCGGCCTTTTCGCAGGGCCAGCCCGCGCAGCCCTCTCCCTTTACCGCGCGCTCCCACGCCCGCGCCGCCGCGCGCCCGCCGCCGCTGCTGCTCGCGGCCCCCGCCCCAAAGGGGCCAGGGGGAGCGAGAGGGGCGGGAGGGAGGCAGGCAGGGGAGGGGAAGAGAGGTTGCAGCAGGGAATAGAGGGGCGCGGACCGGCGGATGGCATCTCAGGGTGCGCCGCACGCAGGGGTGGGAGAGAACAAGCATTGCCGGGCCAGAGCAACGGCCGCGGCAGGCTCCCACCCGGGCGCGATCCCTTTCTCGTCTCGTCTTTCTCTCTTTTTTCGCTTCTTGCCATCGTCGTAAGGGGGTCGCAGGCCCTTCGCAGGGCCTGCGAAGGGGCGGGGGCGCTGGGGCCCCCGAGCCTCCCTCGCGCACACGCACGCACGCACGCGCCGCGCGCGCGGCGCGTAAGGGAAGGGGTGTGTGATTGCCGGGGTTTCTTCAGCTCTCGCCGCAAGGGTGTCAACACAACCCGGGATCTAGCTCGACGCTATCGACGCAACAACGTGGCCGAAGGGAGAAGAAACCGCAGGGAGCTCGACCGTCGCGAGGGGGAGGCCGCGCGGGGGCGGCACTCGGAAACATTCCGAACGTCTAGAATGCAGCGGTCGCCTGTGTGAAGGGCAGGGCCACAAACCGACCTCGAGAGGGGGCGGCACGGGGAATGGTTTACCCCGGCGGCCCCCGGCCGGATGCGTGGCGCGAGCCCGCGACCTTTGCTGTGCGCTGCGGCTGGGCCCATGGCAGCCAGGAGGCTGCCCCCGCCTGCCGCTCGCCAACCTACCAACAACCTCTTCAACGCGCCCAGCACCAACAACACACCACAAAGGGCCTCGGCAACTGGGGGGCGGGGGGAGGGAGGCCATTGGGGAAGGGGATGAGGGACCGGAGACGCGCAGGGACGCGTGCCTCCTTACAGCTGCCAAAACGCCCGTTCGCCCAACACCACCGCGAACAGGGGCCGCCCCGCCCGCTCGTCAGGGAGGACACCCCCTCCAGGGGGACCCACGCCCGCCGCACCGCGGCTTCGCTCTGGGGACCTCCCCGAGCCTCGCTGCCTCGGCCTCAGAGCCCTCTCAGGAGGCGGCGGAGGGAGGAAGGAGGGCCCGACCAGGGCCTGCCTGCCTGGACGACAACCAACCCCGCCCGGGGACGGCGGGGAGCCGACCACGCTCGGGATACCCGTCCGCGGCCGCGAGGGAGCCCGCCCACCGAGGCTCGCTCGCCGGCCCCGGCGCCGCCCGCCCGCCAGCCAGCCAACGCCAGCGACCCCCCTTCGTCCCCATACACTTGTCGCCGCGGCCGTTCCGCCCCCACCACCCCAAACAGGCCGCCCTCTCGCCCGCCCGTCCAAGGCGCACGCCCCTCGCAGCCCCCGACAGACCCGAGGCTCCGGGAACGCCCCTCGCTCGCCGCTTCTCCCGCCCACGGACACGGCCCAAGGGACCCAGGCCTCGCTCCGCCACCAAGGCGTCCTCCTCCGACCGCCAACGCCCCTTTCCGCCGCGCCCGCACACACCAGCACCAGCACCAGCGGCAGCGGGGCCCCGCCCGACAGACCCGAGGCTCCGGGAACGCCCCTCGCTCGCCGCTTCTCCCGCCCACGGACACGGCCCAAGGGACCCAGGCCTCGCTCCGCCACCAAGGCGTCCTCCTCCGACCGCCAACGCCCCTTTCCGCCGCGCCCGCACACACCAGCACCAGCACCAGCGCCGCGGGGCCCGCCCGACAGACCCGAGGCTCCGGGAACGCCCCTCGCTCGCCGCTTCTCCCGCCCACGGACACGGCCCAAGGGACCCAGGCCTCGCTCCGCCCCCAAGGCGTCCTCCTCCGACCGCCAACGCCCCTTTCCGCCGCGCCCCGCCAACACACCAGCACCAGCCACCAGCGGCCAGCGGGGCCCGCCCGACAGACCGAGGCTCCGGGAACGCCCCTCGCTCGCCGCTTCTCCCGCCCACGGACACGGCCCAAGGGAACCCAGGCCTCGCTCCGCCACCAAGGCGTCCTCCTCCGACCGCCAACGCCCCTTTCCGCCGCGCCCGCACACACCAGCACCAGCACCAGCACCAGCGGCAGCGGCAGCGGCAGCGGGGCCCGCCCGACAGACCCGAGGCTCCGGGAACGCCCCTCGCTCGCCGCTTCTCCCGCCCACGGACACGGCCCAAGGGAACCCAGGCCTCGCTCCGCCACCAAGGCGTCCTCCTCCGACCGCCAACGCCCCTTTCCGCCGCGCCCGCACACACCAGCCACAGGGCCCCGGCCCGCCGCCCGCGCCGCCACCACAAGGCTGCCCCGGAACCAGCCTTGCCGGGGGACAGGGGAGGGAGCCAGCCGGCACCCAGCGGCAGCGGGGCCGCCTCGACAGACCCGGGGCTCGGGGAACGCCCTCGCTCGCCGCTCTCACGACCACGGCCACGGCCACGTCCACGGCCACGGCCACGGCCCAAGGGACCCAGGCTTGCCAGCGCTTCCCGGACGCCCGGGAGGCCCCGGGAGCGCGCACAGCGCGGCTGCGGCCCGCCAACACAGCAGGGCGACAGTGCCTCGGAGCAGGGACAAGTGCTGCACGGCCGCGAACAAGAGGCCAAGAGGGAGGGGCCAGCGTGCGCGGGTGGTCGAAAAAAGGGGCCTTGCCCACGCTCGCAAGGCCAACGGAAACGGCGGCAAGCGACCGTCCGCACACGGCCTGCCTAGCCGTCCCGTCCGTCGTCCGTCACGTCAGCCCTCGGCCGCGATGGGCCCAAAAATCATCCCTCACGCCTGCTGGCCCGGCAAAACACGGACGGCCTGCCTGCCGGCCTCTGCTTGCCTGCCTGCCTCCCTCCGCACACAAACTGCGGCCAACAGCAGCTCGCCCCCTTACCGCGCACCCCACCGGCCACGCCCGGGGGAGGGGGAAAGCGGCGGCGGCGGTGCCCTGCCTCGCCTCCACAGACCACACTGCGGCGCCACAGCCAGCTCGCCCCCTTACGCTAACCCACCCGCCACGCCCGGGTGGAAGGCGGCGGCGGCCGGCGGTGCACTGGCCTGCCTGCCTCCACAGACCCAACTTTCGGCCACCGCCAGCTCGATCCCCTGCCGCCAACCACCGCCACGCCGGGGGAAGGGCGGCGGCGGCGGGCGTGCCTGCCTTCGCCTGCCTCCACAGACCAACGGCCGGCCACCGCCAGCTGATCCCCTGCCGCCAACACACCCCACGCCGGGGAAGGGCGGCGGCGTGCGGCGGTGCATGCCTGCCTGCCTCCAAGACCAACTGCGGCCACCGCCAGCTCGATCCCCTAGCCGCCAACCCACCGCCACGCCCTTGGGGGAAGGCGGCGGCGGCGGCGGTTGCCCTGCCTGCCTGCCTGCATCTGCCTGCCTTGCCTCACAGACCAACTGCGGCCACAGCCAGCTCGATCCCTTGCGCCAACCACCGCCACGCCCGGGGACAGGCGGCGGCGGCGGCGG